AATTTTTCTTTTACTTTTCCAAGAGGGTAGTGTACTGAGGGGAGAGGTTGGGAGGGGAGAAAAGTGCAACAATGAATGAATGGAAATCCAAAATCTCTGTAAATTTTCATTGAACTTAGTAATAAATTAAAAACAAATAAACAAACAAAAGAATAGCTCCAAAGATGATGGGAGGCCCGGGTGGGGGTGCCTGCTTATCTCTGAGGGTAGGTAAAGGAGAGTTAGTCCTGTTTTGAAAGAATTGTTGCTGACAATTTGATAATATTATGTCTTTATCTTCATCTGGTTCTGTGTGTCTCTCATCATCAGCTACGATCTAATCACGGGGATCAATGCTCACTCAGTTCCTGTTCAGAGCGTTGAGATCAGATCAGAAGAACTGGTGGAAAAACACACCCCACCGCCTCGCTGTGTAACCAGGAGCCAACTGAAATGCAAGACTGTTTGAAGGAAGAGCGCCCTCAGTGCGCAGACTGCTTCAGCTGGAGATGGCCAATCCCGCCCAGAGAAAGCAGTTGAGCTGAGCTCAATGTGGAAAAGAACCCCTGCTAGTGCGGCGGTTAAAGTCCTTGCCTGCTGTTCCAAAGGTCAGGGATTTGAACCCACCATCCTCTCCGTGGGAGAAGGACGAAGCAGCCAGCTTCTGGAATGGCCATGCCATGAGGTTGTTAGGAGCTGGGATTACCCAGCTGCCAGTGGGTTTGTGTTTGGGTCAGTTTTACAATATTCTGCTTCTTCACTTAGAGTTCATGAAGCCTAGTGGCTAATAGACCATGTGACACCTCCCAGCTGACCATCAGGGCCCTGGCTGGAGAGTAGGTTGTGCTGACAGCTGGACTTCTGAGTGCATTTGGAGAATCATGGTGGTGCCGACCAACTGTCCACCTCTTTTCAGAAGGGTGACGGTCATATCCTTCACCAGGGAACTCTGGGGACATCACACTGATTCTTCTTGGAGCACAAAGCGTTGACACAGTAACTGAACCAGCTCCAGATATGAGTTATTTAGATATGAAACAACAGTAGGGGCACTGGGCCCACTGTGTGGTGACAGCGATGGCTCCACAATCTTTCTCTTAGTGTCCTCCTTTTACCGGGTTAATGAACATTTCTGTGCTAGAATTTGCAAAGTGCTCTTCACTGGTTCTCTTCAGTCAGAGAAATGCCAGTGTTAGCAGAGGTCAGAAGTACAGGAGGCCACTGCTGCCAAGTGGCCTGTGACTCAGAGTGACCCCTCTCATCTCTGAGGCTGTAAATCTTAACTGGAGCAGACCGCCACCTCTTGCTCCTGAAGGTTGGTAGATTTAAACTACCAACCTTTCAGTCAACAATTTAACACATAACTCACTACACCACCAACACTCTTCAGCAGAGTTCGCAGTTATGAAAATGAATGGTACAACTTACAGAGGTTAAGTGTCATTTCTACAGAGAGCTCTGCTGGCCAAGCAGTAAGAAGCTGTGTTGTAATCGTGAAGGCACATGGTTCGAATCCACCAGCTCTTCGATGGGAGAAGGATGGGCAATCACCTCCCACGCAATTTACTGCTTCTGAAAACCCACTTGAGGGTCAGCAATGGGTTAGTTCCGACCTGAAGGCACATGACAACAGCAATACAAGTTACACGTCATGCTTGGAAACGCAGAGGGTCAGCGGAAGAGGAAGACGTCCACCAGGGTGGACTGACAGAGTGTGGGCAGCAGTGGGTTCAAGAAGAGCGGCGACAGCGAGGAACGTGCAGGAGCAGGAACGGCTTCATCCTGCTGTGCATGGAGCCAACTTGAAGACACCTGGAAACACAGGCACGTGGGAGGAGCCCTGCTGACACACTGGCTTGAGCACTTGACTGCTACCTGAAAGGCTGGTGGTTCAAATCCACAGGAGAAAGACATGGTGGTCTGCACGTGCAGAGCAACTCTATCCTGTCCCATCAGGTCCTTGTGAATTGGAATCAAGTTCAGAGCAGTGGCTGGGCTAGACTTTCCACAGCAGGCCTATATCAGAGGTCAGGCAGTGGGAGCAGCACTGGCCACGCTTTCTTCTTTGCAACACGAGATTGTCATGATCAGACCCAGCTCGACAGCAACCAACAACAAACACTGAGTGCTGGGGCCATTTGTAACAGTCAGCATGTGGGCTGCATGCTCGTGGGAAGGCCAGGCCCTAAGCTCATCCACACCCTGCCCTCGCTTCAGCTACCCCGGTCTCTCATGGATTCACAGAAAACTTTTTAGAGAAACATGAGTCTGAGGAATCAGTGTTAATCTTCTGCTGAGCTCAGAAAGTGTTCCAAGAAGTTTTCATCAACCCGTAGATGACCTTCCAGTGGCTTTTCAGATGCTGTGAATTGCACGGGAGGAGATTGCCCATCTTTCTCCCTCAGAGCAGCTGGTAGATTCAAACTACCCACCATGGGGTTGGCAGTGCAACTCCTTATGCACTAGGCCACCACAGCTCCCTTTAGCCAACAAAATCTGCTCTAATTGGAGAAGCAAAGGCTTCCACCAGTCACTTAGGCGTGACCATGCTATGTTGGCCTTAATGAGGGCAGACACCAGCGGCCTCACCACCACAGGGCCAGCTCATCTGCTCTCCACACTGTGCGTAGGTGTTGTGGAGCCAGTCCCAACGTGTGCCAAATCCGCGCACGACAGATCAGATCGCTGCCCGATCGTGTGCCGTCCTCACCGTCTCTGCTGTGTGGAAGCCCCTCACCGCCGTCACCACGTCAATCCCTCCCATCCAGGCTCTTCCGCTGACGCTCTACTTGGACAAACATGACATCCTTCTCCAGGACCCGCCCCTCCTGAAGACATGGCCCGAGTACATGAGGAAACGTCGCACCATCTTGGCCGCTGAAGAGCACGCTGCCTGAACTTCCTCCAGGACAGATCGGTTCTCCATCAAGAAGAGCGACCAATGGGGCTTTTCTGAACCTTGGGACTGAGGTAGACAGGATGGTCTTTTGAAAATACCCACTGTATTATTGCTTGCAAAATGGCAAATTCAGAAATAAAGTGCAGCTTTATTCTGAAATAAAGAACCAGCCCAGATCCAGCGTCAAAGGGAATAGCCACTGCAATCCCATAAGTGCGAGGTTCGAATCCACCAGGTGCTCTGCTGGAGAAGGAGGGGCAATCTCCTCCTGTACCAGTCAGATCTGATTTGACGGTACACACACACAAAATAATAAAATAAAAAAAAATTTAAAAAATCAATTTATATGAATTTTTTTTTTTTTTTAAAGAGCAGCCTCAAATGTGGAAAGGGGCTGATTGTCATGGGGTTTGGCCTTTATTCTTCCGGTCTGTAATCATAGATCAGTTCTGGTGGCACAGTGGTTTAGGTGTTCAGCTGCTAAGTCAAAAGGTTGATGGTTCAAAACCACCAGCTGTTTCATAGGTGAGGGATGTGACTGACTGCTGTCTAAGATTGTAGCCTAGGAGACCCCAGGGGACAGTTCTGCTCTGTCCACTGGGGTCATTAGCCTGACAGCCACAGGTTTTGGTTGCTTAAGCCCAAGAAACCTGTGAGTTTGCACCCAAATCTCTATGTGACAGACTGGTTCCTGCAAGAACTTGACAAAGTACTCACTGAGTAGACAGATCACACAAAACCAATGACCGGAGGTGGTACAAATGTTTCATGTGCTCAGTGAATAGGGTTGCAATTTTCCTGTAGCAACTCTCTCATAACTGTCACATCCTACTGTTAACATGATAGATCGTTTTGATAGCAATATTGTTTCTTTTTGGATATTTATTCTGAAAGCATGAAGTATTTATTATGTGTTGTGTTGTTATTATGTGCCCTCAAGTTACAACTCACCCATTCAGGACCCTCTCAGGTTTTCAGAGGCTGTAAATCCCGTGACAGGAGATTATCTAACTTCCTTCCTTCCAGCTGGAGGTCTTGAACTGCTTGCTTTTGGGTTGGCAGCCATAACCAAGTAATGGTAACCACTTACCTGCGACCATGTGCCTGAAACCCCTCCCTGTAACCACATACCTCGAAAGGAAAATCTCTGTAATTTAGAGTGTGGCCCGGATGCTGGACCCCTGGTCCCTTCTGAGACTCCTGTTTGGGGGCACGCCTCACGTACCTCCCACCACACCATGCAGTGCTACTCACATCACTTCACCTGCTTTCCTTTCAGGAATGTCAAAATAAAGAGTGGACAGTGGTTCTTTGAGGAACGTGCCAAGAAATTTCCAACTGAAGGTAAGTACCCTTTTTGAAAAAAATTGAGGTGAAATATAACACCGATGTCCCCCTCCGGGCTATGCCGCGACCCCCATTCTCTCACGTTGCTCCACCAGCCACTCACCCTCTCTGACCTCGAACAGGGCCTCCCCTCCCTCCTCACCTCTTGTTTTGTGACATTGACTCCAATTCACAGTGACCTTACGGACAACAGACAATTGAGTCTTTTTTTCTTTGTTTATTATGATGTTGGAGAGCTCTGGTGGCCTAGTGGTAAGGAGTTGTGCTGCCAACCTGAAGGCCTGCAGTTTGAATCCACCAGTTGCTCTGTGGGAGGAGAGAGACGGGGAATCTCCTCCTGTGCAATTTACTGCCTCTGAAGACCTGCTGGAGGGCCAGCTATGGGTCAGCTCTGACCTGACGGCACACAACTACAACGTTGTGTTTGTTAGTGGTCTGGTTGTGAGGGGTTTTGTTTTCCTTAGGTTGCGTGTACGCCATACTGGGAATACATAGGCCATAGATTTCATTTGCTTTCCCTCTTCCAGACCATTGCCCAGCCCCTTATGTGACAGAACACATCCTCCCTCTCCAGTAGGAGCTGCACTTTATGGTCTGGTTCTGCCCCTCAGCGCACCAAGCGCAGAATGTTGTTTATGGCCCTTGTTCAAAATGATCATGGAGCATTGGAGGCCTGGGGCACGTGGGTGTCACCAGGACTTGACAGGTGGGGACAGGTATGAGTGAAGACACACTGGGGCTGTGGGAGAGGAAGCTGCACCGGATCTCTGCTCTGTGAGGTTATTCTAGGTGTATGCACAGTGCGATGTGTCAGTGTAGTTGGCGGCTGGAGCTGAAAGCCACAGGGGAAGTGACAGTGGCTGGTTAGAGACGTGCAGTGTCAGGCGAGATAGAGGATAATGTCTAAGGGCAGATGTGAGCCACAGCAGAAGATTGTGGGGCCAGCAGGGTGTGGGTGCTGAGATGTCCGAGGGAGAGGCACAGAGCTCCTCCCTGACCTGTGAGGACTGCAGGGCGATGTGGGGGCACAGACCACTTCCGTGACCCATGATAGAGAACCATGCAGGAGGATGGGGCCCAGGCCGATGAGAAGGACGGGGTGGCTGGTGACAGAGGCATGCAGAGGCAGAGGCCATGCGAGGTAGAGTTTTTGGCTGTCAGAAGAATGACTTGAGAGCGCATAATCCAGCTGTCCCTGAGCCAGCTGCTGGTGACCCTGTGTCAGAGCAGAACTGTGTCCCCTCCCCGGGATTGGCAATGGCTGAATATCTGGAAATAGATGAACTGTCTCCTGAGGAGCCTGTAGGTGGACGCAAACCACCAACCTTTCCATTAACAGCCATGTGCTCTGTTTGGGGCAGGTGCATGTCAGCAATATCAGCATATAGTCAAGGAGCAAAGGACAAAGGTCTCACAGGCAGACAGGAAGTCGGCCTCAAAGAGAACCTAGAACCCTGCAGAGGAAGTTATGTGCTCTGTAAGCTTGTCATTGTTGTTGTTGACAAATGTCGTCAAGCTGATTTGGATCCACAGAGACCCTAGCTACACCTGGACGAAACACTGTCCAGAGCTGCACCGTCCTCACACCTGTCACCACACACGAGACCATTGTCCAGCTGCTGTGTCAATCCATCTCCTCGAGGGTCTTCCTCTTGCTGGTTGACCCTCTGCTTTATCAAGCATGATGTCCTTCCCCAGAGACCAGCCCCTCCTGATAACATGGCCCCAGCACAGGAGCTGAAGCCTCACCCACCACCCTCACTTCTTTCTTTTCCTTTCTCTCTTTCTCTCTCTCTCTCTCTCCCTTCCTTCCTTCCTTCCCCCACCACCCTCACTTCTTTCTTTCTTTCTTTCTTTCTTTCTTTCTTTCTTTCTTTCTTTCTTTCTTTCTTTCTTTCTTTCTTTCTTTCTTTCTTTCTTTCTT